GCAAACTATTTACTGTCGCCTACTGAATATGACGTTTGATTGGTGGGGAAGTGTCTGCGACCAATTTACTCACCCGGTGAACAGACAAACATCTCACCTTCACAGCTTAGTATTGTGGGCGAGCAACACCGAGGACCATTCAGGTACTCTGCTATTTTTCTCGAATGGAACCCAGTTACGGATTTTTGAATCCATCTCGTGGTAGTGTACTCGGATTGTACTACTTTCTGTTTCCCTGGGGTGCAAATGAGCGCGACTTACGGACCGGCTATGGCGGTTTCCCGGTTGCGCATGTGAAGAATGTGCCCCGTCAGGGTAGCCGAAGGTCAATCAGCTTCCACCGCAAATCTCTACCACCGAGGCCGTTTGATTTGACGGTTAGCGTACGTCGTTTTGGAAGTGAGCATGCAATCTTCTGATCGCCTATAGAAACGTATATTATTTCTGAGGGGAATGCCAACTCTAAACATTTACTGCTGTTCTGTACATTCAGACGTGTAGCCAACTTTATTCCATGTCAAATGAACACGACGCCCTAGACTGAAAATGCCTACTGCGCTATACGCATGGCTGTCAATACCCCGCTATCCGTGTTACCATTGTCCACAGTGTTGACATTCTCGTTCCAGAGGTTTGCATGTCTCATCACACTGGCCGGAGTAATCTTTTGCACGTTTCACGTTGTAAGCAGGCCTTAGCGAAAAATGTTGGTTTACCTACGAATCCAGGTTGTCAATCATAGCTAGCCTGTGTCGTTCGACCTACTACGTGGTCGGGTTGGGGAAAACAAGCGTTAATCTCTAGCTCATGGTGCTAAACAGCGTTGTGTGAAATTTGTTTCTACAAAAGTCGGTAATGTCTGCTTTTCTCATTGGTATTAGGGATGCCAAGTATATTTATCATCTATATTCTCTTGAAACGAACGTATGCACGCACACTCCTTTTGGCTTTCATCGTTTTTCTCTTTTATTTTCGTTGCGGTTCTTGTAATTTCACCATGATTTTTCGCTGAGTTCCCCATGATATACTACGTACCGGTCAACCGCACAGTGTTTTTGGCTGGGCTCCCAATGTCCATCGTGGTCCTTTTCATCGGTACATGACTAATAAGGATACGTTCGTGCTATTGCTAACTTTAGGTTCATTGGTATATGCGTGTTCGATTTTTGTTGCAACCGAACCATATCCGAACTTTTGGTTGCGTATTATTCCACCCCATCCCCCTTAATTGTATACTTACTTATCCTCGGTTGATAAACATCACGCAGATCGCTCAATCCAACCGTTATGTTTCCCTTATAGTAAATCACGGTGCGTTTGCTCGCTCACCATAATTCGGGTTATGGCAGAGCAACACTTCGTGTTCGCCCCGTGTGCGTTGGTAACTGATTTCATACACAGTGGAAGTCATACTCGTGAACGTCGTTGTGCGTGTTGTAGGCGGCACATTTATCGTTATTAGACTTGTTGTTATCCAAGTCACCAGGAACGATCGACCTACCGACACATCGAGGGCGTATGAGCCGTCTGCATATAATTTCATCCGCCTTCCTTCCGGCCTTCTTACTTCGACCCCTCATTTAACACGGAGTTTGTGACGCCTCCTATGGAAATTGCAACACAAGCCATCTTTGATTTCTTGCTTTAGTTAGTTACTTAAAGTATATTGCCTAATTTTGAGCCCTGTTATCTTATTCTTTTGCTATGGAGGGCAATTTTGGAAGATATCTGTACGTGCCTCACAGTTCTAAAGATGGCGGTACACCGACAGCCTAGGGAGTGCTGACGTGATGGATGAATGTAAAGATTTGGCTTTACCCCAAGCAGCTTGCATATGTCGTAATCTGCCTACCGTCGAAATCGATCATATTACCGAGGTGTTCTCGTACATGACTAAGAGCCGGAATCAACGTTCTGTGTCGAACTCAAAGTAGAAAAGGTGTTCAGTGCCCAAATTAGCGATTCGAAATTCAATTAATTTGTGTGAGATTGTATAGTGGAACTGGTAACTTTAGGGCAAAATGGAAAGTAAGTTGTCATTAACTTTGCATCGCTAGTGTAAGCCATCTATTTCGTTATAATTTGGCCAGCGACCAATGGTGTCTGATAATAATGCACAAAACTATGCGTATTTTTCTGTTGAAACACATCTGATAGTTTTCCTTTGATGCCTTTGCCCACATACAATAATGACGCACTGCCAATGCCAGTCTAGCTGGATGGGGGATCACAAGCGACTACAGTTTATCCTTAGTTAGCCAACCACACTGTTCCATATTAGCGTATGTCGTGTTCCAACGAATTACGTGCAATCTTGATAAAATACATCTGGGGCGTTATCTCGATGCTACAACTCATCTTATGGCTGGGTAAGTATATTGGAGATTATTTCTATCACAGATCAATCACTCAAAGTGATGTCTATTTGTTTACGCTGCTTGGTAACTGTACAACTAGTGGTCTTAGCACCGAAGGACCGCTGCACACACTAAACATATCTCCCAGCTTGCCTCGATTACGACGGCGGCGGAATATGAATCTAATAGTTGGAAGATAATGAAGGACGCCGCGCTGCGATCAGTGTTACTTCATGAATCTGAAACGTGGCCGTATTAGACCATAAATGCATGCGATATATTACTTCCTTGGCTTGTATTTTTCCAATTGGTCGCGGAGCCGAACCGTAACCAATTGGTATGAGGCGCTTATACTGCAATCCAAGGTCGTCGTTTCGACTCTGCGTAGTTGCCGGCGTCACCGCAGTACCCATAGCCTGCACTAGATTGGTGCTCACGTGGCAGCGAAGCGTTGGTGCATCACGCTGTTGCTTTTCTTCTCTTTTTTCGCTCCATAATTTGTCAAATGTCCTTCACTAGACGTGCAACCCCTCTTGTTCAGATCGGTTTATGACGTTTTCTCCGATGTGGGCCTCGGCAGCGACCATCCCGGCGTATCGGATTTGGCGCCCTCAGCGAGATTAGTGTTATTCTTGCATACGATTCTTAATTTCTAGTTTTTTACCGCTTCACCACTGATCGATCAAGGGGAGTAACCCCTTCAGAATGCGACGGGCGTGGAGGCAAGGTCATTGTAACAAATCATTGTGCGTGCATATTTTGTTTGCTCTCTTCTGACAAAGCGTCAGAGAAAAATCAACGACAGTGGGTCCATTGACTATGTTGCCCCCGGGAACAACCCGGTGTGAGCAACATCACCTGTTGGCGGATAACTGGCAGTACTAAAGTATGAACTCAACAAGAACGATTCGCAGCAATGCTCCGTTCACTAAGCAAATTTTAGCTTATGGCTTAATCAGGTGCACTTACGATTTCGCTTCATTTGGTGGTCTCAGTGTACGCTGAGCTCGGCAGGTTGATTGCAAACGTTTCGTCACCACTCGAGGTGACATCGTCAGTGCGCGTGTAATAAGCAGTGGCGCGTACGAAGCGTCAGTGAGTGTGAACTATCACTGTCCAAATTCATTGGTCAGTTTGAAAGAACTTCAGATTTTTGCAGCAAACGCACCCGATTATATACATCTAGGCACGCTACATACTGCAGATATCGATCACTCAGGAGTGATCTCACGTCTACCATGTAAATTGACTTTTTTGAACGATCGGCTCATAGGTTTGCTGTGCTTATACAAGCGCATACCAATATTCGGTGAAACCTTTATGTAGCTCAATTAAGATTCTACGTGCCGTTTTCATACTAACAATGATTTCCAGTAATGGCTAACGGAGTTAAATCGGCTGGCTATTTACAGCTAATAGGTCCGTAGCGTATGTACTCAGCGATTGACTGCACCTTCGTCTTCGGTACGACGTGCATCCGTTCGCTTTCCGTCTGGCTCCAAATTCCCTTACACCGGCTTGTAGGCATTTTTGGTTCACACATTCGGCATCGAATATCACTGGATAAGATAGAATACTTCTTATTTTGGCTAGAGGATTGTTTGTACGCCACTCTTCCCTTATGACAGTGGCCAACACACTGACGACTAAAAATATCGAGTCTGCCTAATTTAAATTTGGGTCCGAGCTTCGCGGTCATGATTCCACCATTCCGTGTGCGGCCGTCACGACTGCAAAAGGCGACCAAACTATGTGTCCACGATATTGATTTGTGTCTATCTACCAGTGGGTATTACATCGATCCCAAGCGCTTGCGAACTTGGAGCAAGTTTATGTTAGAACCACTATGCTGTAGACTGGTCGCACACATGGCTACAAATTGCGTGATTGACGATCTAAACGAGCTTTGAACTCAACCATTAGGCACTTTGAATTCCTCGGTTGCGATTTGCAGTCTACAGTATACTGAACGAAGTTACTTTGTCTCCATGAAGTGCGTCCACTATGTTGTGATGTTAGTTATTACTGCTGGATCAACTCTGCTCCGTGGGATTCGTGCACCTTTGAAATCCGAATGCGTCTAATCTTTCCTGTCACTATGATATGCCTCAGTAGTACTTGCAGCCATTACCTGATACAGCATCTATCGTAGGCGTAGGAAATTGCGACTGTTTTTACATAGGGTGTCAGCTTGAGTTGGACAATAACTAATAACCCTCGGTTACTTTGTCACTTGGGTAGCTGCACTTATTCACGAAGTTAACCTACATTACTACAAAACTTTGTGTCCTTCCATATTTTGCACATTGATCGTTCGCATCTTCCATGTAGCCCAGTACTCATGCTTCCACCCGAGGTTTTGCAACATTTTCCTGCTAAAATCACGTCAACAGTTCAATTGCCATCTTGTTCTATAGTCATTTCTGCGTTCAAAGACTGTCTGCATGTGCATATACACAGTCTAGTACACCACCGTAGGTTTTTAAAGCGCAGTCCTTGGCTAAAAGAAGCTGCCCTTGGTGTTTATTTGGTCAACCTTTTCTATCATACTTAATGCTTCGAATGCGCTGTCCGTATGTTTGAAAAACTATGTTGTGGTTTTACGCCATTCTTGCACATGCCTTCTTCTTCCCCTTTAATCAGTTGTGCGTCGCGGCCCCGGTTCAGATCCACAGTGTATGAGTCCGTTGATTAGCGCACAGGACGAGTTTCCGGACAGTGCTTTCTCCGCTAGTAGCGTGCTGCTGAATAAAACAGACTTTCAACCATACCAAGCGAGGTGAGTGTGAGCTGTGTACCATTAATTGCTACTTTGTCTGCTACGTTTCCTTCGTAAGTGGAAGAGCTCGAAAGTAATTAGCCAACGGTGAGACTGCAATGTGTTCTTCCGATTCGATTTTCCCGCAAATCAGTTGCCTGAGGCGCCCAACCCACTCCAGTGATGGGGTGAATCATATCGGAAAGGCCCCAGGAATGTTTGGCCATCTGGTGGAGAGTGTGGATTTCACATTCACTGCGCAGTATGCTCATGCACTAATGGCGACTTTCTGTCGCGGTTGTTTGACCTGTGATGGCCCGGTTTTCTTCAATTCGCCTGTGCGGTGTAGCAATTCACCAGTCATTGCCAGAAACAGACATCTGACTGAAACAGACGGAAGCTTTCTTTTCAACCGTACTAATCCGACTAAACATATTTTGTCCATTTTAATCAAAGCTCAAATGCGCATCTACAGAAACAAGTAGCGTTTCTGTATAAAAGGTTTGAAGATAATGATGACAAGCGTGATCATCCTGAGAGTGAATCTCGCTACCCAATGACTTTTCGAAACATGACATATCGATTTAATGTCCAATGAATTTGGGCCCTAGGTGAACTCAAGTGTTGACGCTTCTGAGCATAAAATTTTACAAGCTGATGTGTTATACTAAGGCAATTCGTCTCCAAAAGGGATCGCAAAACGCACTAGCTTTCTGGAGTAACCTTCATTCTCACGCTGCAATGAAGTTTCGAACCAAACTCCGAAGCATACTTCATATTAATCCACCCCTTCTACGAATAACTGTTCCACATTGAGCCACTTTGTAGGATTCGTCAAATTACGATACCACTGTTAATGCAGACCGGGCTCTAAGGAGTGGTATGGATAGATGAATTTCGATACTGCTATATTTTTTGAGTGTCAAAAGCACATGACCGTACCCGTCCACTTCCACTGAACGCTTAATTTTGATGCGCAGTGCTTTGTGGACTCCTCCTACAATTTCCCAAGTAGATTTTTCATTGTATCTATGAATTTCACTTTCGCCCCTGGGAAATTGCACGCATGTATCTTCTTATCGAAGCGTGTTTTTTCACGTCGTTTTAGCAGATTAGGATTGAATCACTTGTACCCACCCAGAGCGGCTCTTCTCGCGCCATCACATGTATCATGATGTATATTTGCACGGGGAATTTTTCGACATAAGCACATGTTTTAGTTACCGAGTGGTTATCCGATTAAGTGGACCACACATGCGAGCTTTGTCGCTCGTGTATGACGGCGCCCCACCGCTATTCCTTCTCCGGCTTTGTTGGTGCTGCACCTGTGCTAGCAATTTTGTGCCATCCAACTTCGTGCCTACATGGGCACCCAGCGTAGGTGCATGGCACCGTCTTTCTTCTCGGGACCCTGTACATCATGGGGGCTAGAAAAGATGGAATTGAAATGTGAAGCGTAGCACCTCACCTACTAAACTCCGCCTCGTTTGAGATTTCTGAGGTAAATTTGGCAGCAACACTGCCTAGTAGCGCATTTGACTTTTCAAGTAATTACTGAGTCGGAGATCGGTACGTACCAGTTTATTTCAAAATGTGGAACAATCTCAGCAATCCATCAAGAAAACCAATCTGCAGCAAAAAATTGTTTTCAACGATTCATCATATAAGTTTAAAATACGAAGAAAATACACGGTGATTGGTCCCAACGTAGGTCAATGGTTAAACAACAGGTAGTTTGTCGCCCTTCTTACACACAGATCGATCAAGCTTACTTAATCACACTGACGACACCAGTGTCAGAGGGACGGTTAGGTTGACTGCTGTTCGGCTAGGGTAGACAGAGTGATTGAACAAACTACTTTTGCGAGCATAGCGAGGTTGGAATATTCGGATCGTAATAGTTTCTGCTTCGGCGAGCGTTCGTAGACGCAGACTTTTCGACTTGTTCAAGGGAACCTGGAAAAGCACGATAAATGCATTCGGAAGGTTAACCCTGTGACCTGATTCAAATAGATGGAACAAAATTCCGCTTGCCAAAACTCCAGTGCCTTTGTTCGCCCACCATTTAGCACTATGTTCCTTAATGCGACGTGAAGACTGACGAGTACTCCGACCAATATATGTCATGCCACAGGTACACTAAAATCGATAGATTATGTAGGAGGTTAGCTATGACTGTCTGTCTTTATTGCACACAGGAATAAGCGCGTTGGTGGCAAAGATACATCGCAGTTCCGCGGCTGGAAAATTGTTCCTTATTGACTGTGTCAGTTTTCTGGTTATAAATTCAGCGATTGTATTACATTTAAAACTAAGGCGGATGCAGAGATCTTTCTTTTCAGCTATTTACTCAACGTCCGTGGTTATGTTGAGCTGCATGTTGCACAGTATGAATCTATCCGGATAACCATTTCCACGCAGCGTGTTCTGTATCGCTTTCATCTCATCGTCCAGAGCATCTTCAGAACAGATCTTTCGAGCCCCCGATCTGACACAACGTACTAAGTTGCGCATGTATTTAAGCGGCATCAAACTACTGTAGTTTGTATATCGATAGGTCCACGATTTTTCTGTTGATTTTTTAAAAATAGGGAATCATCAGTTCCTCTATTCAGGTGTACATTCAGACACGAGAGCTCGCTCTCTTAGGTAGGTAGGTTCGTACGTTAACTTGATTGGCAGGTGCGCATTATTAAACTCTACCATTAAATCTTCTCCACTTAAATTTTTATTTGTCACGCAAAACATGTCGTCCATATAACCATAGTACAAGTCGAAACGATCTATGAGTTTACTTGTTGTGAGTTACGTGATCATGTGGGCAACTTGAGTACAATTGCTTTCATGTGGATTACAATGAGATTCTGACTCCCAAACGGACCACTTTCTTGTGATATGCAACTTGCTTGGAACCAATTGAGAGCTGTTAACTTCTGAAGGGTTTGGCAATAGCCGATTGGTATATTTGGTGGGCAGCGTTTAACTTTTGACACAAAAGCTTCATCAGTGGAAGTGAATCAGCAGGTAATTGGTGCAGCATTTATAGCGCCTCGATGTACACTTGAAGTGATACATTAATCTATAATACAATTACCCCTCTATTTAATTTCGGTCGTCGTTGCTATGACTGACAGGTTAATTATTCGCTGGTCCATTTGGCCTATCGAGACTTTTGTGTCAAAAGGAAACGTTGTTCACCAAATAGACCATCCGAATGCCACGTTCCTTTGCCACTGCTACAACAATTACCTTTCAGCATACCCTCCAACTGTCACGATGGAACGGCTACAGCAGTTACCAGCTATTAGTGCGCGGTTCATCTACTGGTCAGAAAATTTTCACGCCACGCAATCCAACGTGTTGAAAGGACAATAGTGAACATTCCCAGATCTTAACTGTAAGCATTGCCTAAGGAGGTTGCCATTTGCCATTCGCAGGCATCCAATTAAACAATGTCTTGAAGATTACCGTTCTGAAACATTGAAATATCGAATGATGACTTGTTGCTTGTTCATTCTTACCAACGCCTTGGACTGCCGGCTTGCAGTCTCTAGGTTACGATTTCTAGTCCCTGATGCTGCAAGGGTTCGGACACCACGGTGTCTCAATCCGCAGATGATCACCAGTGCCTGGTGATGAAACGTACATTTTGGAAATTTGCATACATCCTTCAATTCCCTTCTGCAGCGACAATGCTTAAGTGTAAAAAAGTAGTTTAGTACGATTTCCACTGAACTCATCCTGCTGTCCTTGCGTAATGGAAACGCAAAAATAGTAGTTGCTTATTTGAAGTACGTAATTCCAGTTGTCACCACAGTTTGCGGTCAAGTAAAACTCGGGCAATTCGATAGCTGCGAACACATCCGAAAGAAAACATTGCTGCCTTTCAACTGTGTCGGAACAGGGCAGCTTTGAAAATCTCCTCAGGATTTTCTTCGTTCATTACTCGAGTGAATCTGGTTTACTTTCACCTTTGATCCTAATCTTGACAATACTTCTTCCTGTCCAGCTAACGTCACGAATGTGCGCTGCTTCCGGTGCAGCTTTCAAACTTTCATCCAATTGGCTGCCGCTAGAAAACCCGTCATCTTCCTTCTGTAGATCGATAGGAAATGTTCAACTTAACTATCTTTAGTTTTGGAGACACATGAATGAGACTCGGTTATGGTCCACACAAACCGTATATACATATCAATTAAAAAACAGCGGACTAGATTTGTCACATAGACAGCGTAAGCTCGGGACCACTAATAAATTGGTGAATCGTCGAACTATTGCCGTCAGTTACGATGCAACGACGGTTCTACTCATTCGAATCGTACGTTATTTTGTTACTTCCGGCTGATTACTACTGGCACCTCGGTAGTTCTCTATCCAAGGTGCGGATCGAGTTTCCGCCGGTTCGAATCCCTCCGGTTAACACGTTGCTAACAGGCTGATCCTGAGTTTATGTGGCTTGGGGTACGAAGAACGGTGCGGGAAACAAGGACTCTACACCTTGTCTTATCTTTGGGTGCGAGTCGACCTCATTATGACCTACCGCATTCCACGTCTCGGTGACGTCCCCATGCTGAGGCCAATGCTACACTTACGAGGGCCATGCAGCACACGCGGACACAGGTACAAACTTGCCTTGCCGGAGGTGAAGCAAGTTCCCCACTCACTGTGCTTCGAACGGAGAGTGGCAAATATTTAGGACCGTTTGCCTGAACATGTGATGGAGGCAACATCTGGGCATCAGTTCAAAACGTTGTTAGATTTATATTTTGGCACTATTCGATTCCGAGAACGCTTGCACACTTACGATGTCACGTCTCATTTGGGAGGCCTGCAATACCGTGAGTCAGAAATTTTACATGTTACATGAGAACGATAGCGATATTCACGGCTGACAGTTTTGTAACATTTTTCATCATATTTCGAAGGAGTTGTACAGAATTAATTTCTACTTGCTCTATAACACTGTATTCAGTATGATCTTCATTGCTACCAACGATTCTCGAAATAGCAGTTTGTTATATCGATTTGTGCGCTTCAGTTGAGAGTCACATGAATATACCACATAGGAGGATAGTTGCTTCTCTAAAGTAAGAACCTATGCTAATGTGGATTCGGCGAATGATTTCCGCCACCCCTACTTCACTCGGGCCCCGGGTCCACGTAGTTTGCTATCTGAAGATAGCATGCATGTCACCAGCTGTAGCTCATTTCGGAGTTTCAACCAGACTGCCTGGATATGCCGGATTACACACGTGATCTGTGTTAGATGATGCTGGGTCAGCAAGGGGCTTCTGGAGGCATTGGGGAACAGGTACATTTGTTCATTCTTCACCTCGTTATTTTTTGGCTGCTCTAGTTATTGAATCTCTTTGTTCGCCTGCTTTCTGTTAACGTTGCGAATAAGAAAATATATGGTATGTAACTATAATTGCTTCCGTATTATTGTCGAGATTTTTGCACTAAGGAGTGTTGATTCGAGTAGATTAAGCTTCGCAGTTGATACGTTTCACCTGCCAAGTTTATCATTTAGCATAAAATACTCGCATTCTGAAACAGAACATGGTTCAAAGTGTCTCGAATTCTTATGCTGTCTTTGCCATTTTGATCCGATGTACCGGAGGATATTGTGAGCATACAGGTAATGAAACCTTATGCTCAACTGAGGCTTGGCTGGCTGCCAATCACTTTGATAGGATCCCATGGTTGATTATGAACTGTTTAACATTCCAACTGCTAACTGAACTTTGATTCACAGCTTACTTCGATTAGGTTGTATTCCAAAAGCCATGTCAGAACGAACGATTGGAGCCCATCTTGACTGTTGGCACGCTTTTGTTTATGTGTCAGCTTGTGCTCGGTGTTTGGCACGATTCCCGTGCGTCGTGGATAAGTTGAATTTGTCATTCAACAAAGTTTACATTGTCTTGCATTTGCCGTACCACTTGTGCCATTGTGGCCTACCAGTATGGTTTACGCCATTGTTGACTGTAGTAACTTCTGTTCCTTAAAAATGTTCCGCTTTGTAGCTAAAGTGTCTCAAATTTTTCATTATTATACATGCATTCCTGCAAGCTTGAATTCAGAGCTACAGTTTGAAGGATACAGGATCTGTCACTGTGGCAATAATCGTATATACAATGAACTTGTAGACTATGTAGATTTGTCAGTTTGATTTTTCACGAACACTTATTCTGATCACACTCTATTTCCTCCACGTCAAGTACTTTGTTCAATTATGGGTGTGGTTAACCGTGTGGATAGTTTCTCCCATCTGAGCCTCACACTATTGTCCTCTTCTGGATGGAACTTTAATTACCCTTCAATTCCTGTTCATTGCCTGCATCTCATCTGACTCACGCGTTTGCTCGGAAAGTAGCACTGTTTTCCCTCTCCAGATTGATGATCGCATACAAAATGCCTTTAGGCCAGAATGCACATGGGGTTGTGTTCGTTACTTACTAGGTTGTGAGGTGACAGCATTTGGAGCTCATGATGCCTTTTGACCGTCGAACCCCAGTCTTCTATCCCCATGCACATTTTGTAATCACGGTTTGAATTTCACTGTGGCCGGAGATCATTAAACTGTTATATTGATACTGTGTCTAAGAAATACTGTCGTTCCGTCTACTAGTATGCATGGAGCTAAAAGGAAGCTCACATCAGCGTCCATCGCGGGTGCATTCAAGCAGCGCATTTTATCCACTGTAGTTAGTTTTAGCAAAAGGTTAACAAAGCACTAAGATTGATGCACGAGAAACTAAGTTGATAGGTTGCACAAGTCAAGCCAAACGATTTTTACTCTCATGTCGAATTACAACTGAAGGTATGAGGATTTGAGACCGACCACGCATTGTATGTTTTCATTAGACTTTCCAACTTTTGTCGTCAAATAGCCACACGTATTTTCGTTGCAATAGTTGCATATTCGGGTCAACTGTGCTCCACTAATTTCTTATCCCTCGCCCTGAAGTTCTCTGAAAATCTCTAAACGTCACCCGATATCCAGTGAACGTCAAGCCAGTTTCGACACGGTTGACCGGTTCTGTTATGATTTGTGGTTTATGCTGCGTCTGTCGAAATTTGTCTGTTGTGTACCCCGTGTAAACTATGCCTCTCAGTCAGTTGCACTTACAAATTCTTCCTTAAGGTAATCATTTCTCTCAAAATGGTCCTTAACGCTATCAAACTGCATCCAACGGGTGCAAACGCTCTTCAGAAATGCGTGATTTTCGTTGTGATTAATCCGGGAGTATAACCGATGAATACACAGTGAGACGCTATTGGCTGATTTAGGATTGGCTACACAATGAACAGTAAAGTTTAGAGGCGTTCGCGCCACTTTGATGCAACTCGATAGTGTTAAGGACCATCTCGAAAGATCTATGAAGGCACATGACTTCCATAACATAGAATTTGAAAGCGTTACGGGGTGCACTTTACTGCACAAAGGTATAGTCGCCAATAGTCCCACTTGTCGGGTGTCCAATGTTTCTTTTGGTATCCAACCACGGAGAAATCTATCGATTATAATCAACGATTCTTTGATCGCACATCTTTGTCGTGATGGCCTTCGGTTTCGCTTTGTATTTTTATGGTGCATTCAACCGCCAAGAGTAATACTGTATCGCTTTGACATGAAAGGGAGTTGGTACCTCATCTTCATGACCGACCTTGTGGGACAACCTACTAACGTGTTTTGTGCGTTTTTTAACCATGCCTATGGGTGCATGGTCAATCTAAAATGAACGTTTCCACATTTTCAGATTAATCGAAGTTTACGGTAGCAGGGAGCACACAAGCGGATATGCGTGGTGTCCCGCTTCACCAGTTGGCGAAATGTTACAAGACTGGATTCAGGCCGAGTTTCCAGATTTGGTCATGATCAAGTCCATTTTTACCGCAGGGCGGGGAGATGGGAACGTAAGTCCTTTTGCGGATTCCGTTGTATTTTCGTCCGTGTGTCATTATTTCTTAAAAATGCCGCGAAAGATATTCTTTTCGATATATCACTTCAGGCGTCTGCAATTATAAATCAAAATTAAGACGTCACTAAACTCGTGAAACTTTCCTCACATATGGATAAATGAACATACAAGAAATATCACTTGTATGGTTGGCAGGCATCCGGTTTCGGATTTGCCTGTCACTGTGGCCAGCCACAGGACACCTGGACCTACAGAGGCCCAAAGTTAGCTTGCGCTGCACCACCCACAGCTCCAAACACACCCCATATCCAGTGTAAACCCGAAGGAGTAAGACCGGGAGGCATGTGGATGGGAGCTACCTTTCATCAACGGATACGGCCCACACTCCTTCACGTTGTATTTGGGGAATCAAGCGCACACAAGACGGTGACTAGACCGTAGTCCGGTCCACACTCTGCATGGAACAACTCTTCGAGCCTAGCATGGCCACAAGACCGTGCACCCCGTCCCCTCCAGCAACAACCAACTGTCTCCTGGAGCCAGTATGGACGAGGTAGTGGGTAATATGCAGGTAGGCACTTTGTCAACATACACATCAAGCGCAGCCACACCGGGGATATCAAACAACAGCCAATCACTTGCAACGATAAGATGAAATAAAATAACTCCAATAATGCATACAGATGCGGTAGCATAACTGTAAGTTGGTTAGCAACGAATCCGCGATAAGTAAGAAATGTCCACAAGTTACTTAAAAATGCTACAAGCGCAGCAAAGTTACTGAAGCTAAGCGCAATTAGCGTAAGCAACGTGGCAAGTTAGTAGATTATTCAGGTAGGCAGAACAAACCAAATAGGTTGGAATGAAATTTATCCAGCTTAAAAAGACCTAGCTTAAGTGTAAATTGGTTTAACCCAACTGCAGTGAAGAAGCATAAAGAATACAACATCAGCCTCAGCATGGGGCACTTGTATAAAGCAGTATGAAATAGCAATCAATGGCTTGTTCGATCGGACCAGTCAGTATGTACAACCACACGTGACCAACACTGAATAATTCATGTTGGATCGAGTTCACGGTCAAGGTAAACCCAGCTCCGGTTTCAAACCCCTTCTTGCGATGCCTTATGCGATGACCACTAGATGTTTTAATCTTCTTTAGGTAGCGTCTAGGGATGGTATAGACGACTTTGAAGGACTCATTCATCCGAACTTTCTGGCCAGTTTCTACCAAGTGTTGCAGTATAGAACTGTTGACGTTCTTCACCGTGTCTTTCCGCAGTGATGCGGGGCAGTACTCAACAATCCGTTTGAACAAGCACCTGGTCATGTGTCCAAGATACCTTGAATCACAGGTGCAAGTGAAATGATATAAGATGAAGACTTCCGACCGGACCAGGAGTTTGTCCTTTAGGTGCTGAGGAATCAATGATCTCGTTTCGGCAAGTAGCCTTAGGTTAGCAGTTAGATACATCTAGACCATTGCGATTGACATTTTTCCATACAACCTTTCGAAAGCAATGTCACCTTTAAAAGGGATTGTATGGAGGACATCCTTTTTTGCTACAGTAACGACAGATTTGGCAGCCTCAGGTGAAACGGGATGCTTCTTAATAAATGGGACCGGATGCCCATTTTCTTGCAGGGTGCTGGAGACGAGCTTTGTTTCTTTTACAAGTGTCTTATGGCTACCAATGACTTGCGCGATGGTACAGACGACGAACTAAATTTCGTTTGTATCTCAGGAGTACAAAAGTGAGAAAGTGCGTATATTGACCTACCCACATTGCGGAAGACACTTCTTTCGGTTGTTTCGTCCTCACCTCTGCGAAGTAGAACCTCTGGAAAGGCGAGGCATCCATCTTTTCGACTTCACTAGTGAATTTCATTGAGGGTGCACCTCGTTACACTGATCTATTAGGTTGACATAATCAGTGGATAATTCACAGACAAGGAATGTGTCATCCATATAACAGTATTAAGAATGAAGTTAACGATGACGTTATTCAGGTGCCCTTGTTCGACCCTTGTCAGAAAGATGTAAGTCAAGAGTGGGACTAGGGAAGAACCCATCGATCTGTCGCTAATAGATCCCATCATACAGAAATTGTGCATTGAGGGCGCAACATAAGGATAATTCTTTCAGTTTCGGTACTGGAATTCCAACATCAATGTTCTACTATGTGATGTAGTCACAAATGAAATCCACAGCCTCTAGCAACGGTACGTTGGTGAAAAGTGATTCCCTGTCAAATGACAGCATCCAATTTTTGTTGAATCCCTACACTTGCAATTCACTTGATTATCATCTTTACTCTTCATGTGAACTGGCGCGCCAGCTTCATTTCTTTTGCCCTCGATCTCTGCAAGGAAGTTTCGGAATTTTTTCTCATTTTTACACACCACTCAGGCGTTCTATTGCAACATGGCAGTAAGACTAAAAAAAATCCCAGGTTGTTTTAGGTCCCCGCATCATCTACCTGTTCTCACGCAAGTATGCTTCGTCAAAGAACAATCCTCATGTGCGCTGCTGTGTTTGCCTGTTTGCTCAAGCACACGGATGAGTTCTACCCGAACGAACCCATGATCTACACAGCATACACACCACAGGGGGAATGGGTCGCCGTCCACAATGTGTGTAGGTGTGCGTGTGTGTTTGTGTGTGTGTATCTGTTTTTATACCTGTGTTCACCTGTGCGTCCGCACGCTTTGCCTTCTCTTCAAAAAGCTTGTTCAACTTTGTGGACAAGGATTGAGCTCGGATTATTTTGGTTGTCGATATCACTAATACGGGCAGATAGGTTGCAAAACAAAGTCCACATGTTTTGTGCGTGTTCGCGCATTAATTCCCCCATTCGTTAAGCTTGCCCACATGCATGCATCCATGCGCATGCGTGTACGCATGCGTGTGTACTAGCCTTCGAATGACGGTCGGAAGACAAAAGGGTCTCAACACCTAGTTGGACTGTGAATATATCACTCCCTAGTTCATTGATGTTTTGCTTCCTTATTCAACATACCGATGCCTCTATGTAGGCTGCTGCTCACCCTAACGATATACGCATATCTGTGCGGGATGATATTCCCTCAGTGGGTTAACAGCCAGGTAAAAGCGCTACTCAGAAACTGTAGCTAGCTTGCCGAACTTCCAGGCTTCTTGTTACGTGGGTTTGCATGCAAACGGATCGTTATTTTCGTGCTTGACACCTTCATTTTGGCGGAAATAAACCGCTTGCTTCAGTCTACACATTCGAATCTCCACGCCAATTGCACAATAGGTGGTTACGTATGTATTATATGACACATGTTTCAAACGGTTGCTGTTGGTAGGGCTAGTTTATTTGTACCTAGCATTATGTGTTCGTTGTCCAGAGTTGGACGTATTTAGTCTGGAACCAATATTCAAAACCTGTAACTGCATTTCATATTCCTGGATAGATTCACCACGTTAGGACGTCACCAACTTGTGGTTATACGCAGTTTTTAAGCAATTGCAAACCCCACCGAATCACGTTTAAACCCTTCACGATATACTCATTCCGGTTCCGAAGACGTCCTCTACTCTCGTTCGTTTGGGTTACTGTGTTTTCCACATTGAGCCGAAGCCGCTGCATGTTGTTATACTCGTATGCCTTACTGAGTGTAATGACAGCCGGAAGCAGTGCTCTCTTCCAGTATCGAGTGCTACTGAGCGTGCGTCTACGACTCAATTTTACCTCTCGGATTTCGAAACCTCGGTCTTCCACAGATCCTCTCATCGTTTCCTAATCTTCTTTTTTTTCCAAAAACGGTTCTGTCTCATTTGCGTAGTAGGAGACAAGAATATCGCTGCCACCACGCAACTAGTGAAGTCTATAGGCATCGGTACGTGGCGAGCAACACCACCTTGGGCACGCAGCTAAATATACAATCAAATGTTTTAAAGTGCTGTTTATGATAACCAGTTCCTCCTTTGGTGGATTTTGCCTCCTGTTTCGTACCTGAAGTGATCCATTCACTCCGGGTTGTAAGCGCCATTACTTGCAACCCGGTGAACCTCCATGAGTTCTGAGAAAATGATGGTTTCCTTGCTTGATACAATTTGTCACCACTTTGCAAGATATCTGCGGCACTTTGGCTTGTCTTCACTCATACAGACCCACGTCACTCCTATTATTAATAGACCATTGTTCACAAACGCGCAAAATAATAGAAAAATAGACTCTTTAACGTTTCTTCTAATTGGCTACAGATCTTAATCTTGCGTTTGTTGAATATCTATTATAACGTCTGACTGTAACAGAACCCACTCCATAACGGGAAACAAGAACACCACCACGCGGGACGAGCTGTATTGAAAAACTGACAAAGCTGAGCCACCGGGATGCAAAAAGATCAATAGATCAATAAGCCAACCACATGAAAGGACATAGTTATGAATGGTGAGCGGTCTATCTCTGGACGGCTGTCGGGCGTGTCCAACACAAGTGACGGGACAGTCACGAATATCAAACTATCTAGCTGTGAAGCGCGAGACCGTCTCATACCCGCTTTAAACTGAACTGAATAGCACGCTGTTTTATTGGTGCGCTTTGCATTTTGGGTTCACCCTGGGTCTCTGCACTGGCGCTCTGATTCGCGTTGAGTATCTTCGATCTGTTGTTACGTTTTCTGTTTGGACGACAGGCTCTTCCGACAGGGTAATTGGGTACGTATCCAGCAAGATGTCCAATGATATTGAAGCTTCCTGTTTTTGGTACATCCTTACACTTCAAAACGGGGTCTAATATGGTTTACGTGTTTAGTCCATATGATGGAATCCACTTGTATTCTGTACAAAACACTTGAAATCCGTTCCACGACACGGCCAGGAATCCAGCATGATCTTCCGTCACGAAAATTCTTTACTTACACACTATCATCAGGCACGAAATGCCGGGCGCGTGTTCCATAATGGCGATTAAAAGCCAACTCCATTTGAACATTGCGATTTCCCTTGTGTAGCGAAGACTTCAAA